AGTCTACTCTACCAGGATCAGGAAACGGTCCTCCATAAAATGTGCTGCACACATCTGAATATTTGGGTTGAAGTGTTCTGGAACAGTGTTGTAAATACAACTTAACCACTGATTTCTAGTCGTGTCCATTTTTGGAAGGCCAAACAAAGTAATTTCGCTTTCACAACGAAACACAGCATCACACACAGTGGCCTAGAGTGAGTGGCGGCCGGCGGGCTGAGTGAGGAACGGCCGGCGGGCTGAGTGAGGAACAGCCGGCGGGCTGAGTGAGCAGAGGCGGCGGGCTTTATAACAGCGCGGCCGGCAGATTCGACGAAGGAGGCTTGCGGCAACCACATGTGACGACCCCGGGCTGGACTCCGCTTCGTCCACGGTGAAAGCCGATCCGGCGATCCACAGCTCAAAGTTGTTGTATTTCCTCAGCAACCAGCACGGATCAGCTCCAGGCATGACGAAGCAGATATCGTCCTCTTTTGGAAGGCCAAACAAAGTAGTTTCGCTTTCACAACCAAACACAGCGCCTTCACGACATGGCGGCGGCAACAATACTACAGCGAGAATAAAAGTTATGCCTTCTTTCTTTGCGTGAACATTTGGGGCGGCGTTATGCAAATCTTCCCACATAGTGATGTAGACATGTGGGGGCGTGTTAGAACGAGTCGTTTTAGGTAGGCGTGGTTGACTCTTAACTTTTATAAAGAATATCTCTTTGGATTTGAGACTTTAGTCTTTGCAACTTTATAGATCTTCTTTATGCACCAAGAGCTTATAACACTCCAAAGAGAAAGGAAAAATTGACCAAGATGATCATATGACCCCTTTAACATCTGCCTGTGAGTAAACCTTTCTTGGGCCATATTTTAGTGTTTGCTATTGTTTCCAATACAGTTTTTAACTGTCCAGTCATTTAGTAACAGCCACTTCGCATTACATTTGGACATTTTTTAAAACAAATTGCAGAAAATGTGCCACGCATTGCTGAAAATGATTGTTAGAAAAAGTAAAGCTTTACACCTTACATTTCATTTTCCCAATGTCTCTCTGTGTCTCACACTCTTACCTGTCTTTTTTCTAGTCTCAACCATCTGATAGGACCAGAATTTCTATGGATATCCTTAACTCCAGTGACTCTGGTGTCAAGTTTGACGTGAACAAAGGAAAGTCTTCTGGCAGCAACTTCCTGTAGTTACTCCAAAATTCTGAATTATCCCTGCAAGGGATGTAGAAACAAACACGTGTTTGTTAGATTCATACAAAATTTTGGCCTTAGAACTAATAGGACCTTAATTAAAACTACTACTTAAATAGTTTATGATGAGACATATTCTTTCAGGACTCAGTCTAGCTTAAGTGCTATAGAAGGATATTACAATTTGAAGAAGAAAAAAAAACTAAATCCCTTTATATATTACATACTGTACCTCAAATCCCTGTTAACTCTTTTCCCATGAAAAACAGCTTCCAAAGAAGCACGTCTTTTTTCTTACCCCTTAATGTCACTCTCTTGCTGCTCTTTAATAGCAGAAGAAAAAGCTGTTGAATGATACCGAGATTTTAAAAAGCTACCTCCATATTTTCAGCAAAATGTTTTCATATTAAAGTCACATTACAATATGGACAAAAGAATGACTCACCCTCTGAATGGGCTTTCAGCAACACCCAATGTTGACAGATGTGTATATTCAAGTAAAAAGCCTTGCAATTTCCATAGACACACACTAGTTATTATGACCTATCCTGAAGTTCAGTTTAAAGGTGAGTGTGAGCTACCATTTCACTTTATCTAATCTCTCCATTCAGTCAGGCTGAAGAGGCTATATTCTAGTTTTGTGTAGAACTACATGTGATACAAAGCCATTATTTTATTATTGTAGGATGTAGTTGTGCAAATGTCCATAAACTATTGACAGTAGTGTATATATTCACTCTATTTACTTTTTTGCCAACTTTTATGTACATGCTTACCTCACTCTCTTGTAGTGTTGGGAAACAACAACAAAAACCTGTAACCTGACAAAACTAAAATATACATTGTTATTTTTACCTGCTTAAACAGCATAATGTAAACCCCAGGAATCAGACACATATATGAAAAAATTACTGGATTTCTGTCTAATTAAGTTAAACATATATAATGCACGTTATTAGTAATGCATGTTAGTGAATTTAAATGTATTAACAGTGTTTCAGGGAATTTTCTCAACTACCAAGCCAGTAGTAACTTTTCATAGTGCTGTTAGCTGGAATAAAACAAATGCTGCAAGCAAAACATTTATACTTGAATCTAGATAATGTGTGTAAAATATTACAGTGACATTTTATATTAGGATTTGTGTTGTACCTGCATATTGATGGGTCATTTTAACTGCCCTTCAACTGCTATCAATTTCTTCACCGGGACTACGTTTACTGTTCGTATTTTATATTATCATTACATGTTCTAAGTATATATTTTTTTATTTTGTCTGACATCTAGTGCCAACTGGCAAAGTAATTTCCCTTGTTATATGTTGCATTATTGGAAAACTAAATGTAATTTGTTGTCACACTTTGAACTATAATAAGAATGACAATAAACATGATTATAATAAAAAGTATTTATGTTGTTTTTAAGGTCTGCGCATTAAGCATCTCCAGGATTTGATCAAAACAGACATTGCAACCAGTGAGGTTTCAGTAATTTCTCCATAACACAAAAGATTCCACTGGATTCACCCAGTTGAAGGGGATATATAAGAATTGGGTGTAACAAATAAATAAATAAAATAAAAAAAATAAATAAATAAAAAGGTGGAGATTCTAGAACTTGAAAAGAGGATTTACATCTGGTTCAGACTAAATGCAGAGGCAAATTTTTCAGTTGTTTTGCCAAAACAAATGTTGTTTTTCTGACATCAGGGATTAATGTCAGGTTTTTTCACTCCAAAATACAGTCACAGAAAAAATGCAGTGGACTGTTGCCAAGGAGAACATTTATCGGACAGGGCCTTTGTTGAAATAATTTATTATAATTAACTGATTAAATACATTTTGTACTGTTGCCCTGTGCATCACATCCCTGAAGAATGTAATAAGCAACAAAAACATGATTATTTAAATGCAGTGTAAATACATTTTGCTGTTCTCTGTACCTCAAGACCCCAGAAATGGTGTTTGGACATTTGATTCAGTCCTTTTGTTAACAATTAAACCCCTCAGATGCCAGATCTACCAGTTGTGGTATGGGACCCTAAGATACATTTGACTTAATAATTAATAATCTTTTAACTAACACTTGGAATATTGAAGCACCCTCCCAGTTTAGACAAACAACGTGGTTTCTTTGCAGAGTTTCAAGTCACAATAGCATGCTGGATTCCATGGATTTACAACTGTAGCAAAGAGAAAAGAAAACTAAATATTTCTGGTCTGATGAGGATTTCCCCATCATTCAATTTTGCTTTTCTCCATCTCTCTTAGTCGTCTCTCCAACATCTTGATTTTGTCCTCAAGGTGTGTATCTGGCTTTGCAGATGTACCTATTCCTAACAGGACACAAACACACACCAGGCCCGCTAGTCTTATAGCTGTGGTTTCTGCAGAGGCTCCAGCGTCGCTGAGAATCAATCCAAACATGCCCATGGCAAAGGTGACCTTTAGCAGCCACAGAGCCTGCCTTACAGCTCCAACAACCAAACGCAGGATGAAGGCTATTATCCAGTAGGCCACAACAACCAGAAGGGCCCACTGAGTGACAAAAATCACTCCCTCCGGAGTAACTTCTTGGAAAGGTAGCTTGACTAGATAAAAACATGAAAACATACATGTGAAAATGTGTTTTGGTTTAAATAAATTGAAGCTTTCAAGTATGATTTTTGTACATTTACCGTCAATTCCTGCTGATTCCAAGATTTCCATAACATACCGGATGACCATGTTAAGGGCGGATGCTATGGCATCTGACAGCCATTTTACACCACTTTGTAGAAACTGATGCCCATAAATAAACAAATACAATATCATTATGTTTTTCCAACGAACTTCCCAGTACAGCAAGCATCATTATGTAGCAAGTTGCATTAGCAAACCACATGGCAAATGACTCTCTTCTGCTTTTCAAAGGTCAGTAACCTGGCATTTCAGAGCTCCTCAAGTTCACACAGGTTTATCACATTAACTGTTGAATATTGCATATTTGACAACCAGAAAGTTTACAAACATTACATTGAATTAATTTTTTTATAACCTAACAAACTTTTTGTCAAATGTCTTGCTTGGTTGCTACTTGGTTTCTCATAGAGCCAGCATTAATTATATTAAACAATGGCACAAAAAGTTTAGTATAAACTTGATAGACTAGATTTTTTTACAATGTCAGCTCACCTTGAGAGACAGGTCTACTCTCTTTTCACCGATTGTTGAGACCAGGCAACTGTGGGCTTCCTCGGACAAGCTTGTGAAAATGGACCGCGCATTTTGGAGTGGACTAGACTGCTCGTCCCATTCGAAAGAGTGACACAACGGTATCAACTGATATGAAACTGAAAGTACAAGTGTGGTAAAATATAAACACCGACCCATTTTAAAAAGTGCCTGCAACTACGCTTATAAGACGCCTAAGAACCGCCCAAGAGTGTTTAAATTCGTATTCATGAGAAAAACGTTCTTCGCAAACAACGGGTTACAACTAGGAAACTGGACGGCCAGTCCTGAGGTGAGGTCCAACATGGAAAGAGTCAAAACGCTGAATTCAGGCGTCTCCGCTTGGGGATTATTAAATGAAGTTTAAGGTGGGCATTTTTATGTCAGAAATGGTCTTACAAAGGATGCCAGCTCTATCCTTCACTAATAAACCGGAGGTTTACGAAACTAATCAATTTATTTTCCCGGAACAATGCCTGCTTCCTCTTTCCTCCCTCGAAGGAGCAACCCTGCCGCCTACTGATGACTGGAGACTGCGCGGTTACATTATCCAGAAGAAACGCCACACAAATTGATCCCATATGAAAATTGTGAAAGACCATTTTGTAAACATTTGAAAATTGCAGAAAAAAAGACGTATAAATTTGTGTCCTACCTTTATTATATATATATATGTATATATATATATATATATATATATGTATATATATATATATTTAAACAAAGCAGAGACTATTGTGTGCACTATAAGTCAACAGCATGACATACATTTAGTAGTATAAATGTATTAATATTATTATTACTTTAATATTATTTATTAGTAGTGTATTCATTTTCCTCATACAAATACAGAACAATAGCAGAGTGAGAAAGTCACAAATACAGAATAATTAATAAGGATACTGAAAAATGACTACTTTATCTTTGTGCATGATTTGCCTTATAAAGCAGATAAGCCTGTTTATTAGTGGGGCAACACACCATGAAAAGAGGGTCAAAAAGAGCCATAATCGCTGTCTCATTTCGAGCATTATTTCGAGATATTACATGTTTAATACTTACTGGATCATTTCCATGGCAATTTTCACAGGGTGCAGACTAAAAGTGACTTCTTTCATGTGCAGGAGTTTGACAGCATGACAACGCCTAAAAGAAACACCAGTCTATGTATGTGCTGGGAACAGTTACACTAACATGTTCAAGCTGAGCATGTTCAACTTCACGTTTTTTACTGCCCCCTATTGTTAGTTTGAATTAAATTGAGCTAGAATTCAGCCTGAGATATACAGGTAGGCTAAAAGGGCAGCTGTCAATATAGTGCTGCAGAGATGACATTTTGGCAGGTCAACCCTGATGTTGGCCTCATGCTGATTCCCTCAACAATGGGATTTTGCTTTTGGATTATTGCAGAAAATAAGCAATGTGACCAACAAAAGTTTATGATTCTGACAACTCTTTTGGTCTTTATTTAAAAAAAATACAAAAAATAAAAAGTTGAAAGTTTGAGTCAGAATAGTTTGCAAGAGTGTGATGAGGCTGTAAAAGTGAACTAGTGCATGGATGAGTTTACCTGTTTAGCGTGATAATGTTTAATGGCCCCAACAACCTCTGCAGTAGGTACCATTTAGCCATTTAGTCCACTTGTTAGCAAGCACTTTTTTCTAGTAAAGGCTTTTTTTTTTTTAAATGTAAAAAAAACACAAGTGGGTATTACTGATGTATTTTATGTTGTAAAATACAATGTGAAAATATTTTTTAAGAGACAAGAGTTTTTCTTAAGATTTGCAGGCATTTAACAAAAAAAAAAAAAAAAAAGAAAAAAAAAAGAAGAACCTGTTAAAAAATCCTGTTGACTACAGGACAATGGAACTCTAAGTGCTAAAATGCTCACTCATTTCTGAGTGACGGAGACCAGGGTTCGAGACCCACTCGGGGCAGCCGAGTGGGACCCGTGACACCTGGACTTCTTCGCCAAGTAGCCACTTAAGTTTCAGCACTTTGCCCAGTCTATGCAGGAACTCTTTGTCTCGGACCACCACTGTGTTAATGATGATGGGCTTGAAGCTGTCATTCACCACAGCTGGTCTCTGCATCACAGAAACTATGAGAGGGACATAAAGAAAGGTGATTTGTTCTAAAAGTTCTAGAAATGTTGTGATGCACACAGGAACCAAATTCAATATATACGCTGTACATAGATTTATTGTATGGTCTTTGTAGAAAAACAAGCAAGAGGCTAGATATGCTGTGTCAAAGTCAAATAAACCCCATATTTTTACCTTTGAAAAAACACGTTTTGTTTAGGTCAAACTGAGTATTCATAAGAAAACCTAATCTTTTTAGTAATCCTTTTTCGCTTTTTATCAGTTTTCCCTCTTCATCACATCCCTGATTTTTCTGCACTAAGAGCCTATGACCAAAACAAGCACACGTAAATGGGTTCCACAAGTCGATTCATTACACCATTATGATTTGATTGACAAAAAAATCATGTGATGGCATTATTTATGATTCTCACCTAACAGCACACCAACGCAAAAGGACGCTAAGTTGTGAGGGTTGTGTAACGTTGTTTTATTTTTCCCTCAGTTTTATAACAAAGCATAACCACTTGCCCTGCGACTGTAGGGAGGACTGTCTTATTAGCAAACAGCACGCGGATCTTCTTCTTCTTCTTCTTCTTATGATGTTTAATGGCGGTTGGCAAACCAGCTTTTGGTGCATATTCCGCCACCTACTGGGATGGAGTGTGAGGCGCTGATATCAAGGGAAATGCTAATTCTCAAAAAAAAAAAATAATAATAATAACCTTCTACCTATATTTTATTATATAAATTTGTTATTTTCAGAAGCCAACCGCTTCTTTCAGAGCTTTAGTTATTTTAATTGGGTTCAACACATTAGCCGATTCCGCAAGAAATTTAAGCATTACCTTGTACTCCTCTTTCGGTCTACTAACCTGTTTCCTTTCTCTTTCACTATCTGATCCAGATGTTTGATCCCTCATTTTTTTCCTTTTACGATTTTCCACTAAAGTCCAATTACTATTTTCAGTACTTTCTAATTCCCCGCCATCCATTCCATCCGTCTCCGGATCACTTCCTGAATCTACGCAACTTCCTTCCATCACCACCTGTCACACCCCAGTGTTGCCACCGCCCGCCAACACGCGGATCCTTTGACGGCGTAGCTCATGAATATTTAATACATTACGTTAGTTAGTTTGTTGCTTGGTGTTCTGAGCTTCCCATTAATTTTTTTACTTATATTTTTGCTTTGACTACTATTTCGTGGGCTAAGCTCTTTTACAGTAGGCTTTGGTATTTCGCCATCATAAAAATCAGTCCATAAACGGCGAATATCACATAACGCTATTAATATTTATGAGATAAACATTTTCATCGTAAAATGTATAATTTTAAAATAAAGTAAACCGCTAGCTCGTGTCATGTGACAAAGGATTTGCCCGGAAGCTGTCTTTTTTCTTCTAGTAACAAACGAAGTAGAGCTAAAATGATGGGATCATCATAATGTGGTGCTGTTTCAACAAGTTGTAAAACAAACCAAAAAAACACACACACCAAAAAGCCATCTTTAATTGTAACTTTAATAAAAAACAATCTTTATATGTTTATTTTGATTTGTTTATATAAAAGAATACAATTCACTTTAGATTTACATACAACAACACTTAAATGCATATGTACAAGAAAAACCACATGTATAGGCTATATGAAGTGGATAGTTGAAGGACCTCTAATTTAAATCCAGAAATGCCATACATGGGATTAAGCAGGATGTCATTCAGTCACGGTCTGAGAGAGAAAGAGAGAACCCCACATGGTTCATTAGAAGCATACATTGAATTTAATAATTAATTAATTAATTATGAATTATGAATTAGGCCATTCAAAATCAATGACACACACACACAAACATATATAATAAAATATATACCTATATAATAAAATATTTTCCTAATTAAATATTTACCGCATAGCCTGTAAAGTTCCTCCTCTGATTATACAGTATAGCTGTAAAAGCAGAGGAAATTGCTGTCTGGACCACACTGACCATGGAGATGGTTGTCTTCAATCCTGTGCTGAAATGCTGATTTAAAGAAGAGTCCTTACTAAAATATGCAACTGTTTAATATTATAGAACTCTCATATATGAGGGTATGAGATACATACAGTGGCATAATACTGGTGGTCACACATCTGGCGTGATCCCATATGGCATTTGGTTGCCGGATTGAAAGCAATGTCAGCATAGTACATGATAAGTGCAATAACTGAGATGATAATGGTCACAGCAGAGACTGCCAAACAAACAGAGACCTAAAGACAAGTGCAAATTCCATTATTTTTTGTCTTTTTAATTATTAATTTAGATTTTCTGTTATACAGAATGTGCCTGCTGACGTGGAGCCTTTACAGGAACGGCATATACCAGTCTCTAAAATGTGCTCTAACAGTTTGTCTGTCTTGTTGTAAGTTCAAACTCACTGCTTTCAAGGTGGCATATTTTTCCACTGCTATTCCAGCTGCGCCTGAAATGACAAACTGTTTGGAAAAAAGGAAACAAAAAATGAAGTTCAGTGATAGGTCCATCGTTGGCAGATACACAATTTACTGTACATTCCTTTAAATACTTTGCTATCACCTTAAACTGTTATATAACCACCATGTCCTAATGTATTAGTGTAATATTACCATAAGGCCACTCCACCATGGCACACCAAAGTTAAGTATCATTGTGATCTCAGTGGACAGCAGAGGTATAGAATAGGAGATGATCAGCAATCCTATTACTATCTGAGCGACCTATGAGAGACAGAAAAAAAAGGCAAGAGAGATGGCTCAGCAAGAATTTCATACATCTCCAAGTAAAATATATATTTTTTGGTAAAAAATTAAATTAAATAATTATCATTATTATAATCATTAAATTTCAATCAGTTTTAGCTGAGGTGTGATGTTAAAATGTTTCAGAAAGTATCTTAAACAAAAATTATCTTTCTTCTATAATGATCTTTCTTCACCTTCAATACCTTGACTGAGGTGAGACCCTTGAGCAAGGCACCAAACCCCCAACTGCTGCAAAGGGACCAAACACACCGCAGCAAAAATGGCTGCCCACTGCTCCGGATGCGTGTTCACGGTGTGTGTGTGTGTGTGTGTTTGTGTGTTCGCTACTCACTGCTGTGTGTGTGCACTTGGATGGGTTAAATGCAGAGCACAAATTCCAAGTATGGGACACCATACTTGGCTACGCTACACGTCACGTCACTTTCACTTTTTCACTTTCATTAAGTGTTTAGCACTTCTTTCACATTTACACAATATGAGTAGTAGTGCTAAATTGTAAATATAGTCAAGATTATACTAAAAATATTAAAGGGGTCATATGATGTTGCTAAAAAGAACATTATTTTGTGTATTTGGTGTAATGAAGTCCTCTTTTGGAAGGCCAAACAACGTAGTTTCGCTTTCACAACGAATCACACAGCGCATTCACAACATGGCGGCGGCAACAACAATACTACAGCG